AACTACCAATCAAATAAATATTATTAAAGAATGTTATTTCTATATATTTTAACACATGTGGAATATTCCATGTACGAGTGAATAGGTCTCTAGTGATGACGTTTTACGCATCTTATGAACGATAACTCATGTTCGACTTCTTTTACGCCATAGCATCTAGTGATAACCTAGCGAAGATGGGAGTAATTGAAAATGCATATAGTTCCTACTGTGTATTCTATAAACGCGCGGTGACAAGGTTTCGCGTGTGTTATAGAAATACGAACGTCGTGGATTTCTAATGGATTTCATAAGGAAAATTACACTGAATGTAAATATTCTGATATAACTAATTTGCTGTACTGTTTCCTGTGTGAATTTTACATCTGCATTTCGCGAACAATTTTCAGGTCCATGTACACAATATTCAAATATTAAATATTAAAATTTTGTTCAGTTATTTTCGCTACATTTAATATTCAAGTGAAATGAATTATTAACCCGACACTGAAACAAATTATGTGTCAAAAATTCTATTCATACGTAAATCCGCCTCTATGAAGTAAAGTATTATGATCCACAAAACATCACAAATGCCATTTTTATTTTTAAAAACAATGTCACTCGAGCCCGACATTAAAGCATAACGATTAAATGATACACTCAGAAAGAAGAAAAGACGATGAATTATCACATAGTATAATGTTTATACTTTAAAAGTTTTCATAAGTAAAAATTGACAATTTTAAATGAGTTGATTATTGTATGATAGGCCTATTCAAAGGGAATCCAGGGGCGGCGCATCGGGCTCCCCCCCCCCCCCGATTTGAAATTTTTTTATTTAAAATTTATATGTCCAGTATCCTAAAATAAAACAAAAAACGTCTCTTATTTGTAAAAACTTGTCAGCTTCCGGGGGCTTCGCCCGCGCAACCCCAAAGAAGACCCTGTCTTAGACCCACTGTGGGCTTCAGTACAGCCGCCAGAATAACCCAGGGCTCTGCCTACCAGGCACGTAGCATCCGGGGGGACCCGGGGGGGGGGGCTGCCCCCCCCCCACTTTTCTCCAACATTACCTTTAGTATATAAAATGTCTATTGAGAAGATGGTTGGCCCCCCACTTTTTACCACAGTATATACATAGCAAGGAAATATAGGAAAAAATTGGAAGTGAAAGGAAGTTTGCCTTGAAAAAAAGTTGGCCTTTTCAGTTTAACAAGCGTTGCTTATGGAGTTTAGGATTTATTTATAATTCCCGGTTATACTCTTAAAGAATAACAGTTTCATATGATGTGTTTGTAAAACACTATGCCCCGGCTGAAACAAATTTAGAAAAAGCTATTTTTAGCATATACTAGTAGGTCAAAGTCAAGGTCACAAGGTCATTGACCTTGGTGTCATTTGAATGAGCTTAATTAGTGGGGTAAGCACACCAAATATGAAGTCTCTAACTCTCATGGTTGAAAAATCAAGGCGTAGGTTAAAATTGACAACAGACAGATAGACAAACAGATAAACAGACAACCAGACAGGACAAAAACAATATACGCTCCGGATCTCGATCCGGGCGCATATAATAAATATCAAAAAACTTTATAAACGATGTGTTATTTCCAGGCGCGGTGACTCCGCCATTGTGCGCATAATTATTGAGCAAATAATTACCAATGATAGATAATTACAATCATGGACGGGTGCGTATCATTACCGCTACATTTTCAAAATTTTCATTACCGTGCTACATGGTCAATACCGCTACAAAAAAAAGCTTACGTTATGGCTACATAAATCAAAGTACTGAAAGCACTCATGGGAGTTGAACATGGTGTAAATAAAATCTTTGATCGGGAGGTTAAGTGAGTGAACAGTATTATTATTTCAAATACAGACAACTGTTTCACATTTTTTGAGTTGGAACAATCTTGATTGAGAAAGACATTCAGAGACATTGAATAGCAAAAAAATGCATGGGCCATAATGCTTGCCTGCCTACATTAGTCCTTTTTTATACCCCCTGCTTGAAAAGCGGGAGAGTTTTTAATAATCGTGATTTCCGTCCATCTGTTTGTTACGCTTTAGGTATACCCATCTCTTATCCGCAACTCCTCTTAAACACCACTGAACAAAATTTTCATAGAATCTTTATTACATATTGCCGTTGTGCTTCTTCTATTACTTTTTCATCCTACACATATTTTGGGTTTCCCATTGCAAAACATGGACACTGCCATTATATTCATATTAGAGGCGGTTGATCATTTATATAACTGCTCACAGTCTTCAAATTTGTAATATATTTTTCCTTGGCACCTTTACCCATGTGTTATGAAAATTTCAGTTTCGCAGGAATAATATCAATGTTGATAAAATGTGGATTTTAACACAGCATCCTTTTAAGGGCTAACAGGTTTGTTTTATAAAACTTCTCTGTGAATAAAAATGTACATGTATTTCAATTACACGAACATTACACATGGAGTACGTCAGAACTTAATCTCTTTTAATATTGGGAAGAAAAGAGCAATGCCAAGTTAAAAACAAATTTAATATTTATTGACAAAACATAAAAACAGTGGTATGTGAGAGTTTGTGTGCGTACAAATTATCTGTTATATAAATGAGGATTTCCTTTTATTAAAAAAATATACTTCATTTTGTTGTTTTTAATCGCGATTTTACGAAAACATCGGTGTCCGTTTTTGGTTTTAATATTTATAACAGAGTACTAGTTTTACCGCTTTTGGCAGGTGATACTGCTGATTTAGTAATAAATACGCATGTTTCCTAAAGTTTTTATGCATTAATGAATTCAATTAAACCAAGAAAATGTTCAAGAAAATTTTGAATAAGACTAAATTTAACGTTTGCCGTCAGTATGTAGAGTTGTCGTTCGTATCTCTTTCAGTGTATGACGCTACACTAATCAAAGTACTCAGAAGTACTGAAAGCCGGGCTCATTTACAGGGTAATGAACAAAGACCGCAATGACAGTTTAAAAACAAGCTGATTCAGACATTGAAAAGATGATTATATATATCTATATATGTCATATATAGCATTAAAAAGCTTTAAAATTAATTAAAATGTAGCTATAATTTAACAGCGTAAAATATGTGTCACATGTATCATTTCGGGGTTTTACATACCAACAGAAGTAAATGAACACTGGTTCAGCAAGATTATTTAAGGTCAAACAATTATGCACAGATGGGTCCTCAGCGGGGAGTTTTGCATCAAAGCGTACATCAAGTCATTAATGGTGTCCCCCGCATTTGTATTAGTACACCCTTTATTTATAGAATATGACGCAGACAGGGATCCCTGATGAAAACCTTTTGCATATTTTAACCAAATGATTAATCATCGAAAACGATATAAAGTATTTTATTATAATTATTTTTTTGACAATTTCAGATAACTATGAAAGTTTAATTCAGTGTTTGTATTGCCTCAAAGGTGATTGCGCAGACGTACTATATTCTAACTCGTAAATTTAATTTGGCGGTGAAGAAGCAGCATTTTCTGTTGCTCACCGTCGCAATAGCCGGGCATTTCTCTACGAGAAATGAGCCCGGCTAAAAATGAGTTCCATTACAAAAACTTTCAAAGTTCTTTATAATTTAGTTTTACATATGTACTTTGAACGAAATCTAATATTCAAAATAAGATTACTTTATCATTACATTTACTTACATTATGAAAATTTGATTAATTCAGGAGAAAATGACATGAACTATTTGTCGCGGATGTTTATGCATGTTTTCTGTTGAATATCATCGGAGTAAAGGTAGCTAAACACAGTTTCGTATAAAATCCAGGGGGTTTTTCCCAGAGAGAAGCATGCTGGGTAGGGATTTTCCTGCTATTTATAGGAGTCTAGATGAAAACTGCATCATTTTTGTTTTCATTCACATAAAGTAGAATCTTATCTTAATATTTAAAGAAAAAAATGTGCATTCATTTTTAGAAAAAAAAAATTATGAGACTTTTTAATAAGGGGAGATAACTCCCAAAACATCCGGTTTTCACATGTGCAGAATAGCATGAGTCAATTAGCAGGTAATGTAGCTCTTTCATGAGGTGGAAAATGTACCCTGAAAGCACACTAAAAGAAAACCTTAGGACTTGTTCTGTGAAATGCATACAACTTATTTTGTCTGATTTTTTCTGTTTTTGTTGAGCATGGGGGTTAAAAATGCATAGGTGCACTGAAAATGGATGCATAAACAACCCAATATCCCCCATATTTCAGGTGTCAAATACCCCCTAGTAGTAATTGATGAATGTATTATAGTTGGATATTTACAAAATTCACAATTTCTTTCCATTGATATGCAGAAGTCTATGTAACAAGCCTCCATTTTATTTTTTTATAGGGGTCAGTTTTGCTTGTCCCTCACCAAGTAACGTCCTGATAACGTCATACATAAAACTGTGTTTTGCACCCTTAAGGAGTAGCATTTGATGACATTTCCCACATTTATTTGCATGTAAGTTCATAGAAAATTGCTTTATTTGTTTTAATTTATGTAGTTAACCATACAATATAATCTCAAGTTGACACTGTGTAAGGCATAATGCCTATTAGATACATGTTCCATAGAATTTATACATATGATAAGGATTCAGGGGCTAAAGTTGTTATTTCACATTATGACGCAACTGCATTGTGACATCAAAGTGTGACGTCATGTCAAAAATGGAAGCTTCGCAAGGTCATGACCTTCAATTTAATTGATCGCAAATGAGAATATGTATCTTCTGTATAGATATACATGTGACATAGAACTATTGAGTATCTAATTAGGGTGACACAGTCCAGATTTTTGAGGCAATCTTCTGATTTAAGACAGTGACTATTTCTAATTAGACCCCCCCCCCTTGTTTATACAGAAACTAGCAATATCTGTAAAAATTGTTTGGCAGCTTTTCAAAAAATTTATAATGTAACATTTTATTGATATTCAAATACTGTATATTTCATACTTTGTGTTTTTTAAATTGAAGAAAAATAAAATTATTGTGTGAGCTGATTCGGTTAGGTTTGAATTTCTCTTCGAAGTCCTGTTTTATGCGTCGACCGATGTCGTAGACATGTAATACTAAATTTACAATTACTTGCCCATTTCTGGACCAAATTCAACAATTTATGCACCAAAATGTTTGGAATTCTGTCCTCTTTGCACCTAAATACAAAAAAGTGAATTGCAAAAAAAAATTATTTCCTTTAAGGTAGCTAAACACAGTTTCGTATAAAATCCAGGGGGTTTTTCCCAGAGAGAAGCATGCTGGGTAGGGATTTTCCTGCTATTTATAGGAGTCTAGATAAAAACTGCATCATTTTTGTTTTTATTCACATAAAGTAGAATCTTATCTTAATATTTAAAGAAAAAAATGTGCATTCATTTTTAGAAAAAAAAATTTATGAGACTTTTTAATAAGGGGAGATAACTCCCAAAACATCCGGTTTTCACATGTGCAGAATTGCATGAGTCAATTAGCAGGTAATGTAGCTCTTTCATGAGGTGGAAAATGTACCCTGAAAGCACACTAAAAGAAAACCTTAGGACTTGTTCTGTGAAATGCATACAACTTATTTTGTCTGATTTTTTCTGTTTTTGTTGAGCAGGGGGGTTAAAAATGCATAGGTGCACTGAAAATGGATGCATAAACAACCCAATATCCCCCATATTTCAGGTGTCAAATACCCCTTAGTAGTAATTGATGAATGTATTATAGTTGGATATTCACAAAATTCACAATTTTATCTTTCCATTGATATGCAGAAGTCTATGTAACAAGCCTCCATTTTATTTTTTTATAGGGGTCAGTTTTGCTTGTCCCTCACCAAGTAACGTCCTGATAACGTCATACATAAAACTGTGTTTTGCACCCTTAAGGAGTAGCATTTGATGACATTTCCCACATTTATTTGCATGTAAGTTCATAGAAAATTGCTTTATTTGTTTTAATTTATGTAGTTAACCACACAATATAATCTCAAGTTGACACTGTGTAAGGCATAATGCCTATTAGATACATGTTCCATAGAATTTATACATATGATAAGGATTCAGGGGCTAAAGTTGTTATTTTACATTATGACGCAACTGCATTGTGACATCAAAGTGTGACGTCATGTCAAAAATGGAAGCTTCGCAAGGTCATGACCTTCAATTTAATTGATCGCAAATGAGAATATGTATCTTCTGTATAGATATACATGTGACATAGAACTATTGAGTATCTAGTTAGGGTGACACCATCCAGATTTTTGAGGCAATCTTCTGATTTAAGACAGTGACTATTTCTAATTAGCCCCCCCCCCCCCCCCCCCCCTTGTTTATATACAGAAACTAGCAATATCTGTAAAAAATTGTTTGGCAGCTTTTCAAAAAAATTATAATGTAACATTTTATTGATATTCAAATACTGTATATTTCATACTTTGTGTTTTTGAAATTGAAGAAAAATAAAATTATTGTGTGAGTTGATTCGGTTAGGTTTGAATTTCTCTTCGAAGTCCTGTTTTATGCGTCGACCGATGTCGTAGACATGTAATACTAAATTTACAATTACTTGCCCATTTCTGGACCAAATTCAACAATTTATGCACCAAAATGTTTGGAATTCTGTCCTTTTTGCACCTAAATACAAAAAAGTGAATTGCAAAAAAAAATTATTTCCTTTAAGGTAGCTAAACACAGTTTCGTATAAAATCCAGGGGGTTTTTTCCCAGAGAGAAGCATGCTGGGTAGGGATTTTCCTGCTATTTATAGGAGTCTAGATAAAAACTGCATCATTTTTGTTTTTATTCACATAAAGTAGAATCTTATCTTAATATTTAAAGAAAAAAATGTGCATTCATTTTTAGAAAAAAAAATTTATGAGACTTTTTAATAAGGGGCTTAGGACTTGTTCTGTGAAATGCATACAACTTATTTTGTCTGATTTTTTCTGTTTTTGTTGAGCAGGGGGGTTAAAAATGCATAGGTGCACTGAAAATGGATGCATAAACAACCCAATATCCCCCATATTTCAGGTGTCAAATACCCCCTAGTAGTAATTGATGAATGTATTATAGTTGGATATTTACAAAATTCACAATTTTATCTTTCCATTGATATGCAGAAGTCTATGTAACAAGCCTCCATTTTATTTTTTTATAGGGGTCAGTTTTGCTTGTCCCTCACCAAGTAACGTCCTGATAACGTCATACATAAAACTGTGTTTTGCACCCAAATCGGGCGACACAGTAGCCTCGCTTTCAGCTCTATATAATTAACACAAATTACTGCGCATGTTAAATAGGTGATGACCATGGGAGATTGAACATAGTTCAACTCCCAAAAAGTATACATTACCGCTACATTGCCTCTTTCGTTAGCCAGCCACTTAGGTGTGTACAGTATAACCTATACATGCATAATACCCCTTTTCCCCTGCTCACCACGGGGAGCTGAAAATAGGACTTTGTAGGTTTTTCATGAGGCTCATCTCCAGCCTTCTTAGTAATACAAGCCTGTCTGATTTTCTGTCTTTCAATATCTCTCCTATCCGGCTCTGTGTGGTCATGTTCAGATTTCCCATCTAATACCAATAATTCGTTGAGGTCTGTTTTGCAGTTGCTTTTGCAACTCTATTCAATGCATCTCCATGATTTTAAGTTTTTGAAAGTCTTATTTTTTCTAAAATTTATAACCATCGATAAGTAAGTCGGCATTCCCTCGATTTGTAACAAAGTTCTCAATGGTAGCCATTATGTTCAGATGACGCTAAATAATTCAATTTTGACTACGAGTTATTTATATATATGTACTTATTCTGATTAGAAAGGTAATGATCGGTCGAAAATCTTACAAAATGTAGCGGCAATGAGTTGAAATTTTTGGCAATGTAGCGGTAATGTTGACCTCCCTCATGGACACAAGGCAAGGTCACCAGAAAATGAATAATGGACCTGATTGGGACGCAGCAAAAAGGCTAAATATGATTTTTTTAAAAAAAAGGTTCAAATACGCAGGAACCGTCCTATATTGCTGAAGTAGTGTACATGTGTATCCAACCGTAAACTTTTCTTTTCCGCTTTTCGTTTTCTGTGGAATTCTTTGCTTTCCAGGAGAATTGATCAATTTTACCACCAAAACAAATATTTAATAATGTCCACAAAACTAAAATGATTTGATTTTAATACGTTAAAATGACATGACTATCTTCATACAGAGATTTTTGAAAAGAACCTGTATTGTGTTTGAAAACTACTCACTGTAGACCGTCACCTGACATTTAGATATTACCCCGAGGGTATGATTATTATAATCATACCCTCGGGGTAATATCTAACTGTCAGGTGACGGTCTACAGTGAGTAGTTTTCAAACACAATACAGGTTCTTTTCAAAAATCTCTGTGTGAAGATAGTCATGTTAAACATCTGGTCCTGTACAAAATGGCAACAGTTAGGGTCAAATTTTCGTTATCTTGATTAAATAATAAGAAACACACAAAGATTTGTAATTAAATGGACAGAGACACAAAGGGCTTAATTTCTCGTTTGAAGCATGTACTAAGTATTATTAGTTACATAGTCTTTTAGTGACAGGCTCCACCTCGCCAGGTATGAAATTTACTAACCAGGTATCATCCCATACCCTGTCACTAAAAGACTATGTAACGAATTTACCCCACCGATGAAACATTTACGTTTTATCTGTGGTTTATAAATGATTTTCTCTGCTAAATGCTTCATCACGCTTATACTGTGCTTATTATGACGTCACGTTATGATTGTTACGTAATACATCGACCGAGTATGGATTTGCAACTGACCGGGTATAAGTAATCCACCGCCTTCACGTGACAGACTTTAACCAGTCGTAAGCCAGGATTTCACGGAAAAATCAACTAGAGGTTGGGTAATATTAGTTACATAGTCTTTTAGTGACAGGGTATGGGATGATACCTGGTTAGTAACTAAATTTCATACCTGACTCCGCCTCGCCAGGTATGAAATTTACTAACCAGGTATCATCCCATATCCTGTCACTAAAAGACTATGTAACGAATTTACCCCACCGATGAAACATTTACGTTTTATCTGTGGTTTATAATGGTTTTCCCTGCTAAATGCTTCATCGCGCTTATACTGTGCCTATTATGACGTCACGTTTGTGTTTGTGACGTAATACATCGACCGGGTATGGATTTTACTGACCGGGTATGGATTTACAACTGACCGGGTATAAGTAATCCATTGCCTTCACGTGACAGACTTCAACCAATCGTAAGCCAGGATTTCACGGAAAAATCAACAGAGGTGGGGTAAATGTTGTTAACCTTTCGCTGCCGTAGAGGTTTACAGTTCAAATTACGTACAGTGCCGTGACAGTTTTCTATTACGTTGAATCCATGATGTAACGTTACTGTGACGTCATGAACAATGTAGATAAAGGTGTAAATACTTTCCGCCTAAAGGTTCACTTTTTGCAGTAAATGGTGAAAAAAGACGATAAAGAACAAATTCTACAACGACTGAACCCTTTGAAAAGTTACATTTTATATAACATACATTCAAAAATAATATATTTTAGTAGACTATAGGTCAGGAGGTTTTTTTTTCTAAATCATATACCGGTAATTTTATGTAACGTCAAGTACCCGTTGTGTTAATTATATTCAGCATTTTAATAAAAATTTACAAATGCAGTGGATTGAAATGGATACATAAAAACTTGCAAGTTTTCGTTATTTATTTTTGAAAATTCTGTCGGACTTGAAAGAGTTTTATTTGTTTAAGGTGTACTATATACATTTTTTGTATGAATCAACTTATTTTCTTAAATATATGAAATTAAATTTTATAAAAGATGAAAATATATGAAGAGAGGCTTTTTATAAATGACAGGTTTAAAAAAAACTTGAATAAAGCCGAGACTGTGCACATAAAAATATTTTCGTGCAAGTTTTGAAATATTTGAAAAAGTCAATTCCGCTTCTTCACATGTGATTTTAATTTTTAAAATCCTTTCCTCAAAACACAATTGCTGAATAAGATTTGTTTTATTCTTAAAATGACATCAAGTTATCGAATGACAGCTATACCCAGAGAGGTTTTGCTATTAAATTATATCGCCATTAAATTATATTATTTATATTTATGCACGGGGGTTGTCCGTAAAGTTCGTGGACAACATTTAAGGAATGTTTTTAAGTTTTGTGTGAGTTATTGGTGTGTGAATCACACAGACTTTTCACGTAGGCATATTTCATGAAGCGCGCTAGTCCTTGACGACATTCCATTGAATTACGATTGGTTTTTCCCCTTGTCCTCTCAAGATTCAGTTTGCGCCGAGCCATTCAACTGATGCTTTAATTCATTGTGCTGCTGCTGCTTAAAACAAACTCAATTACTGTGAAAATGTGTGCTGCTTTCAACAAATTCCTGAATTGGTCTGCTTTGCTTGCTTGGAACAAACTCAATTGCTGTGCAAAATGTGTACTGCTTCCCACAAATTTCATGCATATGCACAGTGCTTTGCTTGCTAAAATATCTTTAGTAACGTTCGCGGTTTGATAACCCGGAACGATAACTATATATACATGTAAACTTGTAAAGTTTATTTACAATACATGTATATAAAATTTAACTGTAAGGTTAATTACCGTTCGCGGTATACCCGGAACGGCCATTATTATGCTTATTATACCTACATGTACATGTAATATTATGCTTTCATGTTGCTTACTGCTGCTGCTGCTTGTAATAATTTACGCTTGGCGACCCCTTGCTGCTTTTAAATATGCCACGACAAACAATCGCCAATATCAAAATAAACGTATGTAAAATCATATTTGTTTTATTTTTCTGTATATAAATAATACTGTTTTCTTCTACTTTAAAAATGTACTAGTATTTACTATAGCACTATGAACGCAACTTTTTCAGCTTTGAATACAGTTTCTTTCTCACACTCGCACAGTATAATTTACTCCATATTTATCGCATTCAGAAGCACATAAATGAAATTTTGTGCAAAAGAAATGAATCTTAGCTTTTGATGAAATTCTGTGGTAAGAAAGATATTTGAAATTGCTTAAAAATTGTTGATCGAGGTGTACTCATTACAAAAAAAAATATTGGTCAATGTATTTAATTGATAGGAATGTTATAGGAATAACAAAAAACAAGCATTTTACACTTGTAATAGACCGCCTCATGATGAGTAAGATTAGGTAAAAATCTGAATGGATCTTTATTCATTTACAACTAAATTCCCAGAGATTTGTCTCAAATCAAAGCAACAATTAACATACCTTCAGTGACTACATGAACATTTGTTGCTCACAGACTCTAGCTGCATTACAACAGGAGTAGCCAAAAGAGACACCACTCGTACAGTTTCTCACCACTGTGTAACCATTCACTGTTCGTGTCGTGCCTGCCTCGTCACCGTAAATCTAGAAATTTTATGACACTTTCATAAACAACTTATAATAATTAACGTATAATAATTAAAATTCTCGCAGGAAGTTTAAAAGCAGATTTCCTAAAAAATGAGACTTACGAAGGCAGGGGTCTATTGGAATATATATTTTAAGTACTAGTGTACTTATACGTAATTTTTAAGAATTTCTATATCATTGGATAGTTATTTGTATAAATCTTCAATATGATATAATTCAGCAGCATTTGCCCACCCTTATACCTTTTCTTTTACTAATAAGAGAAATAGAGCTAATAATCATTTAACCGACATTATATGATTCAGTATAAATCATGGGCTCCCCGTTCTTTAATATTATCGTTGTAAAACATGATTGTTAATGTTCCGTTCTCTCCTGTAAAACATGTTGATACTGCGCATCCCTCTACTTGTTCGGGTTTTTCAAAGCAAAGATCTAAGAAAAATAATTAATATCAATAGCAAAAGTAAGTCGTGACTTTATAACAATAAAATTATCAAATGCTTTAAAAATGTATGAATGTAACCTGGATATTATAATTACACAGAAAACAAACAAATGTAAAGACTGTCCATAAAAAACTTACACGGTCAAATGTATGAACCTTTATATATACTCAACAAAAAAAGAAACGCATATTGCTTTACTAGTCAAAGAAATTTTTCAAATGTACATGGAACAACTATCTTTTATATCATTGGATACCTGTGACCTATTTAAAGGACAACATAGGGTTTTAAAACCCAATTGTTGAATTATCTCCCTTGATTAAACGCGTTTATGAAAGTAGTGTTTTTCATGATTTCTTCTGAATCGGACGTCTATTTTCGCTGATATTTTGGATTTAGAGAAACTATCAACACTCCTATTAAACCCATATTTAAGATTTGATTGCAGTGTTGATGCTTCAATGCCACGCCGAAACAAAGATAAACACAACCAGGCTAACGATGATACTAAACGGAGCTGCGCAACAGGGAGTTGCAACTGCATTTGGAATACATCCATGGGCCTTGCAGGCGTTTAACTATCGACGGAAGACCAAGAATTAGCCGTCCGCAGGTAACCACACCCAGACAGGACCGTCTGACCCCCCCCCCCCTTCAGCACCTTACGCGATTCATAACTTGCTCTAAAAACTGCCGCTACAATTGCTGGATGAAAAAAATCAGCATAAAAGAGCATAAATTGTTCGCAAGAGACTGAGGAGCTGGTATTCATGCACGACATCCGTATATTGGAAATCCACCAGCGCTTAGACGTCGCAAAGGACATATGGATTAGTTTAGACGGTATGCCCCAAGAATTTGGAGGGGTCGACCATGACATAAACTTCACTTTTCTCCTGGCAATACATGATATGTTTAATTTTTATCAAAACCCTCTAAAATCACTTTTGAAAAAAATATGGATTAAACTGAAAACTTAGATTATCATGTTTAATCTGAATATACGTTTCTTTTTTTGTTGAGTATATACCTCAAATATAAACGAAAAGTCCATTTTCTTGTGAATCTTCCCGAGAATTATACTTGACATATCAAATCAATATTACATTTTAAAAACCTTTTCTCTTTGACATACCTTTTACTGACAATTGTAAGAGATACTCCGATGTCTGCTGTGTGACGTTGACATAATTAATTACCAGAACATATTTAGAAACGTCACTTTTCTTCACATTCAGTAAAACTAAATTTCCCAGCTGTGAAGAATCATTATGATTGTGGAGGAGCCGATTTTGGGAATCTCTGTAGATTTCAAACTTGTTTTCAGCTACAGTGTATTTGGCGAAGCTGGGATCCCCTGATACATCCTGTTTGTACCAAATATAACTATCCACAGTATGGTTCCTCTTCTCAGGTAGATCAAAGGACAAAACAACTTTGTCATTCATGCATGCAACGATGGTTTTTTTGGACATCTTGACCAATTACTACAAAGAAAATGCACACTTTATGGAATACAGAATATAAAATAGGTTGTGAAAGTTTTATAGATGGGTCAGAGACCAGAAGAGCTTATGCGATAGTAATATGTCCGTCGTCTGTCCGTCTATCTGCCTATACATGTAGCTATCTGTCTGTATGTCTGTAAACAATTTCAAAATGCTACTCCTCCTACAGTTTTAGTTTGATTTCAATATAACTTGGCATACGAATAGACTACACTAAGACACATAATTCTGTTTATCGGATTTTGACTTCGGTGAACGGTGTTACCGTGGTTACCAAAAATTTCTGTGGAATACTTTTAAAATGCTACTACTTCTACAGTTTTGGTCTGATTTCAATATAACTTGGCACACAAGCAGACTATACTAAGATACATAATTCTATGCATCGGGATTTGAATTGATTTCGATGAACGTTGTTGGCGTGGTTACTAAAAATAGAAATTTCTGTGAAGTGCTTTTAAAATGCTATTTCTCCAACAGTTTTGGTCTGATTTCAATATTACTTAGCACACAAGTAGACTACATTGAGATACATAATTCTATATATCAGTTTTTGCTTTCGATGAACGGTGTTGCCATGGTACATGTACATAACGGTATAACTAAAAATAGAAATTTCTGTGAAATACGTTTAAAATGCTACTCCTCATACAGTTTTAGTCTGATTTCAGTATAAGTTGGCACACAAGTAGACTACACTAAGATGCATAATTCTGTGTATCGGTTTTTGATTTCAATGAATGGTGTTGCCATGGACTGGTTACTAAAAACAAGAAGAAATTTCCGTGGAATACTTTTAAAATGCTACTTCTCCTTCAGTTTTGGTCTGATTTCAATACTATCTGATTAAAATCAGATCCTTTTTATCCGCTCACATAGATCGCTAGACAAGGATCTGAAGAAAGCTCATTCAGGTTCATCTCCTGGTGACCTTTCTAAAAAATATTCATTAAAATTTTGACCAATCAGAGAGACCGCACTTTAGCGACATTCGTAGAAGTGAATGTAGAAGTGTAAGTAAGTGTGGAGAAGACCTAATAGTTTCGTACAAAACAAACTTCTGTTCATATAATACAAAGTTTTAATTTTGTGAATAAAAAAAGTAAGTAAAAATCTTTTTTTTATTGATAAATACATGAACAAGTATACATAAAAAAATATACAAAATTTCATACAAGGAGGAATTTGACATGTATTAACTATTGAGTATACCTGGTATGCATAATCATTCACTAGGCTAGGTTTATTTGAAGTTCATCTGAATATTACCCTCAATATGTCGCAGTACATCAATGGTCCCATCAACTTCGAGATAACAAAGTTTAACTATTATAATACATTTTAAAGCATAATTCTGATTGAAGTCACGACTAACTTTTGCTTTGTACAACCCGAGCAAGTAAAGGGATACGCAGTATCAATATGTTTTACAGGAGAGTTCGGAAACCTAATAACGGTATCGCAGAATTTCACAATGAAATTATCAAGGAAGGAGCGTTTTAATCTGAATCGACTTATGTAGGCTAAAGATTATAGCCTTATTTCTCTTATTAGTAATAGAAAATGTATAAAGATGGGAAAATGCTGTTGAATATATAACTTTTAAGATAATTTATTTATCCAAAGACATTGATTTTTTAAAAAAAAAAAAGCAACAAACTTTTAGATCCTAATTTTCGTTCAATGCATACCAAGCGACACCTGTTTAATTAGACAAGCATTGCTTGTGATTTATTTAATGTCTATTAATTTCATAATTTACAAAGACGGTTTAACCCTTATAATGATAAACCCATGTTTTGGTGGATATCACCAACTGATGCTCTCTTTAATGCTTAAATGCAAATACTTTTGACATACTCCTTGACATAACTTAATTTGGATAAATGGACTTCAAACTTTTTTCTTTATTTAATGGGATAATCAAACACAGACATTTATATCGGTTTTATTTGGCTTTCAAAAATAGTTATGGTTCATAATAAGAATATCAAAGGTTTATATTTTTTAATGAGTGATATATTTCATGTGGGACACATACCATTAAGTGGATAGTCTGAGGGTTAGGAGTCTACCACTGGTTGTATTCTGCTAATCCCTTTATATACACAGCAGCTGAACTTTAAAATTGATATATATATATATATCTTTGATGGTTTTTTACATAGGTGCATACCGGTATATGTTTCTTGCTCTATTATGTTAACGTTTTCCAAAGTTATACGTGATAACTTTACAAGGTTTGTTTCAACAACCCCGTCCCTTTATCATGGACCATCTTACATTATATAGAATACCTAAAAACTATTTTTTAAATGTTTTTTTTTTTACTATTTTCGTCAAATAAAAGGAATTTAAGTAAACATGTATTCAATAACAAGAAAAATCTATTTATAATTAATATTCTTTACTGATGCTAATTTACAACATTCAAAAAAATATTTTTTATTTATTTATTATTATTTTTTATAAAATGTGCATAATTCGGACAACGCATTAAATAACCCTAAATTGATTGATCTTTTTTAAGGCATACAATATAATTCACATTAAGGTTGTTTCTAGCTTGCATCACCTCACTTTAACCTACATTTTAAAAATACTTAGTTCATCACCTTCCCACTCGGAAAAACACAAAATAAAACATTTTTTTACTTGAAATCCTTAATACTTAATTTGAAAATTAGAGGGGAAATTAATTTTACATTTAGTAAGCAAAATTGGTTTCCAAGCCTGGGCATTTATTTCAAGAGAGGACCTCTAACTAAAATGAAGAAATTGCTTTTTTGACCCTTTTTAAAAAAGTTTTTTAAACTGACTTTACACTCTCCATAAACTTATTGTTGCAATATTCTACTGAGTTTATGATAAAGATATGGACATAACATCCTACACTTGTGTAAAAATCATATTGTTGCTCTATATAGCTCATTGATGACTTGATATTTAAGGTAAAAAATGAGGGTTAGCCAAGAAAGCATCTTTTGTGCATGCATTTGCGTGCACGTACAACGCGTTAAATGACATATAGTTGATATCATTGAAGCTTTTATAATTCTTTGATGAAATCCTTCGATACTGATCATATTTTTAAAAATGTCCTACATGACTTAGGCTCAAAAAGCGAGTTGGGGAGCGTTTGGGGAACATCTCTAACGGACCCCGTTACAATTAACACTAGCTGATAAATAATCTAAATATTAGAACTCTTTTTATAATGTTCATAAAAATAACATCATGAAATAACATCATGAAATTCCAAATAGTCATGGATAAATTAACCTTAATTCTTTCTGTGTGTTGAACACCAATAAAATTAGACATACTTTGAAGGTTAAGTACATTACACCAGAAGCTCTTTAAAAGATGTATGACTAGGCTTTAACCTTTTCTTCATTGTAACCTTTTCCAAAAAACTAACTTTAACCTTATGTTGTTGATACTTATGTATTTTCATAGACAAACTGACGACACAACCTACAAAAAAATTATTCAGCATGGATCAAAACCAGTGAAATGTTATGACACGTTCGACGTGAGTTAGACGTTGGCCAAACACTAAGTTTGAATTTTGTTTAGAATTTTAACACACATTTTCATTTTGAAATCAAGGAGACAAAGTTAGAAAATATTTACTACCAGTGAGCTTAAAACACATAACATCATTGGCAAAGCATACAAAACAACCATTGTTTATACAATTTTTGTTGACATTTAATTATTTGACAATCCGCACTACTTTTTAGACGACAACAGAGGTGTAAGCGGAGCGCGCCCTCTGGTGAGAGATTGGACGCACCAAATGTCACATGTGGTTTGACGAGCCCGATCTTAATTAAAACAATAGAAGAGTTTGCGCTCGCTCTAACGTTTGCACCGTCAATATATTGAAATAAACAAAATTTCAATGTATTCCCCTTCGTAGAGCCTTAAGGAAGGTCCATACTTTTACGGATTCGGTTTTAATTTTACACACCAATATGAAATTCTTATTATCACTTGTCTGTAGAAATTAAATCATTTTGGATGATTGAAAATGATTTAACAAGTATATAATTTTTAATTATAGTGTCATTGTGCTTACAGAGTACTAGAATTTAATACCCAGGGGTATACATCATTTATGGACATTTATACTTTGCACTCTGTTCAAAGGATCTATGTCATTTAGTACATACACAGGCATAAAATTCTAAATTGCCTTTACGGACTTAAAGTTTTTTTTAACAAACTTAGGACTATCTGTATTGATTTTAAGTCTATACTATCTTTTAAAAATTTTCTTTAATTTAAAATTTTGCATGAAATTATTGAAAATATTGATGTTCCAAAAATGGTGGTACAAATGTATACGTATTCAAAAGGCCGTTGAGTTAAATTTATCTTGTTAATCATAATAAAGTATGTGTTTTTGTTAACCTTCGATATAATTCTTAATAGTTTTGAAGAAAAAAATGGCATGTAAACAATTTAGATTTTGAGGATTATTCAAATTAACGATATTTCGATATTTTTATCTGAAAGTCATTTACAGATACATCAATTTGTTAATGTTTTCCAATAAAGATTTCAAATATCCTCTTGGCAAATGAATATTTTTGATTTTCATACGTTTTAACATAAATACTATGTGATTTGGTGCAAAGCTAAATAAGATATGATATCACACTTCTTTATGTTAACTTTTGACTGTTGAGTTTTTAGAGGTATGTACTCGGAGGCATGTTGTATGAAAATTAACCTGCAAAGATATGTCTTTTATGGGTGTTTCAGTTAGTTTATGACTTATTCAAGGTATTCAAATTGAAAAAAACCCTTTTGACAGAAAATAACTAGATGCTGTCATGAGACAGTAATACCCGCACTAAGGTGTTTGCCTCTAAATGCACACTCCTCTAAAATTAGGCTTTACCAAAGAAAAAGTCAATATAATTTAATAATTTACATAATAGGACCTCCATGTATTCATCAAATTGAGCATAATATTCTCAAGTGAACATGTGACCCATGGGCCTCGATCTTATAGGTACATGTATTTCATATTCATAATTCATTACCAGTC